CTGTTTTTTTTTTTTTTTTTTTTTTTTTCACCTTTGTTTGTCGAGTTAGAAATAAGGAGAATGTTTGGTAGAGAGATTCGTTCCCTGATTCGAATCATGATTCATAGTTCGTTACAGTATTTTTTCTCATAAAAAATACACGTAAATCGAAAATGATTCGAATCACATAGTTTGAATCCTCCAACCAAACGTCATCTTAATTCAGAAATTCGTGTAATTTTTAAATCGTGTTGTGATATCATGATTAATAATAATGTTAACTCTAATTAAGATAGCTTATGAGTTTTATTATTTATTAAGGTTCTTTTTTATTCAAGAAGAGGAAATATATTTGATGGGATAAAAAAACTGTTAGACAATATAATAGAAAATACAAAGAAGAACAGGAAATAAAAGAATAACAAAATAATGAAAATTGTTACAACCCGAAATCAACCTTTCTATGGAATTTGGAAAAACGGAATTGTATGAATGTCGAGGCACGTGAACCACGTTGTCCTTAAAACAAATTCGTCCTTTCCGACGTGTGCTTGAGGTTACGTTGGACGTCCGTCTCCCAGGATACAATGACAACGACGGCAGCTCGATGCACTTTCGGAACCGTCCGGCGAACTAGAACTTGATCTTTCCTCTATCACCAAAACCGAACTACAAGAACTACTTAAGGAAATCCGGAACAAACCAAGAGAGAGAGAGAACCGAAAAGGAGAAGAGAATTGTGAGAAAGTGTGTTTCTATCATGTGGAGTTTTGGCCTTTATATAGGCTCCAAAATCTGGGTGTTACACGAAGACATTATGGTGTAATAACCCAGATTTATTCTCAGAATAATGGTGATTAAAACCAGCCAAAACGTTTTTTTATTTCCCATGGTGAATCTGGCCACATTCTGGCTAGTAATTCAGCTTTTGATGATGGAAAACCGAAGCCATGAATGCTTGATTCGGTTTGCCTCCATTGATCACCATTAAGGTCTCAATTACGGTCTTTAACCATCATTGTTTTATGCCAAACGGAAGCTGGAAGGTCTTGGCTAGAGCAAAAATAAAATCGCAAAAGTAAGCTCGCACGGAGCGGGTTTTTCGGTCCGCAGGTCGCGGGCGCACACATTAGGCCCCAACCCCGCCGGGCCCGTGATTCGCACCCCCCCCCCCCTGCGCGTGAGAGAGCATCTCTGGTATACATGCTTACTTAAGTTTCAAAGTGCAATCACTTATAAACACCACATTGGCTTCACTCCTAGCCGATGTGGGACTTTTGCAATTTTCCTTCTACATATGCCATTCCAAGTACCATATTTAGACCATCAATTTCTCATTCACCCAAAATCCATTTTAAGTGTATGAATACTTGATTTTGATCTACTCGTGACGAAGAACGCAAATCCATCGAGACCCGTCTCAAAACTTATTGGGCCCCTTTCAAACATGGGCCTCAAAATGGCCTTTAAAATGGCTTAATAAGCCATTTTTTCCAACAAAAACAACTCAGCCCACATGGAATTTGTGGGGATCGCCCAAGACGTATAGAAAATGAGTTTGGTTATTCTCAGATCTCTAGGATCTCATAATTTCAAGCTTGGTCGATTCAGGAATACAGTAGTTATTTTTAATGGTGTGCTGTATGGAAAAAGAGAAGAGAGAGAAACTTGGGATTTGCATAGAAGCTTTGCTTTACTTGTCCGCCATTTTTGTGAGCTCCTTCTGCTTCTCCTGCCTGATAGTAATAACTTTCCAATGGAAATGTCAATGGATTGGGTTTTCCACTTCGTGAGTTATTAAACAAATTTAGAAAAAGGTATAAAGAAAAAGATCTTAAAGTATAAAGAAAAAAGTCTAAAAATAATTCCTCTTTTTTTTTTCTCAAAGATATTAATTAGATGAAAGTACCGTAAAATCAGATGAGAAAAAGAGAAAAATTGTGAAATTGGGTCTGTTTAAAATTTATTTTAAAATAAATTTATTTTTTGTATGAAAATAGAAATAAAAATATTTTTAATCTCAAAGAGAAATTTTTAAAAAAAATATATATTTAGTAGTTTTATTAAAAGATTGTTTTTAGTATAAAAAAATTTATTAATGTTTCTATTTCTTTCTATTCGAGAGAGAAGAAAACGGAAACAAAAAATGAAAAAAGATTAAAAATCGTGTTTCATTTCTCTCTCATTTTACACTAAACTAAAAAATCATTTTTATTTTCATTTTTTCTTTAATTGTGTCAAACGCCGTTTCTCTCTCGTTTTTCTTTTTTTTTTTCTAGAAAAATGTGAAAAACAAAAATAAAAACAACTCCAAACATAACCTTTAATTTTAATTTTGGTAGATATGAGTTTCAAGGACAAAATCGTCATGTCATGTCATTTTATAATAAAATAAAAATTAAATGTGTCAACGACTATCACGTGCCACTTAACATTTAAAATTTAACCTAGGGAATGGAAAGGGGGACTTTCTCAAAGATATTAATTAGATGAAAGTCGTGTAAAATCAGATGAAAAAAAGAGAAAAACTGTGAAATTTAATTTTTATTTTGGTAGATATGAGTTTCAAGGACAAAATCGTCATGTCATTTTATAATAAAATAAAAATTAAATATCTCAGCGACTTTTACGTGTCACTTAACGTTTAAAATTTAACTTAGGGGACGGAAAAAGAGGACGTGTGCTAACGGTGAATTATCAGAAGGAAAATTTATTATTTTTAAACTTTACGGGACATTTTGTTAGAAAGCTAATAATTCAAGAGGATAAGTGTAATTTATCCTTTCAAATATGTCGCTCTTTCTTTGCAAAACATGGCTCAAAAAGGTTTTTGATTTCTTGATTATTCTTGCCATGAATGCCAACTAAAAAACCTAACGCTTATTTTGATGTTATATTTAAGGGAAGTTCATTGAAGCAAGCATTCATGGATGTAACTAGTGGCACTTTTAGGTGAACCAAGTTCTCCTTCCCACGAATCGGAGCCGGTATATTTAACTCAAAAAAAAAAAATCCAAATGGGACAATAATAATTTTTAAGGTCTCATTTATTTACCGATTTGAGTTTAAAATTTGAGTTTTGTTACAGTAAAAAACTCTAAAAAACAGTTATATTTAATTTTTTTACTACAGTAAAAAGTTCTCACATAAAATTATATATTAATTTAAATTAAAAATTCGAATAAGCGAACTAAACGGACACCCTAAGCATATTAAATCTGAAAAATGATCAATTTCAAAGTTTGGTGAAAAGTTGATTTTCTGTTAGGTACTTGTGATTAGTTGAACCGTAAATCATTACGGATTGAGGAATAGCCATAATCTACCATGCTTACTTTTAAAAACAGTTCGTTGACCAAAAGGCTTTCAATTAATTACTCAAGAGAAAATGTAAGTAAGATGATATTTAACATCTAACAATACATAAAATAACTAAAGATTTTTTTATGGGGCTGCCACTCTTATTTTCTTTTCTTTTTTCTTTTTTATCTTTATTTTTGTGAATTTTTATTTTATTTTTTGTGTGCTTTTTAAAAATTTATTGTTCCCCACTTTATTCTTATGAGAATAATTTTTTCACATGTGATCATATTTTATTTTTAATTGGTTAAAATATATATTTTTTAATATGCCTCAACTTAATTTTTTTTTACCAATTGTTATCTTTACACACATTATTTTTAAAATAAATTCAAAAATCTTTAAATGGTTGTATAAATGAACTTCTCATTATTCGCTAAACAATAAACTCTTCAGTTGTCTAAAATATGTCAATACATACAAAGCACGTTACATAATTAGTACTTCAAAGCTTCAATTACTCTTTAACCTAAAATTTGAATGCTTTTCTTTGGAAGGTTAAGAAAGGATGATTCATAAGTTAAGAGAGAATAGTTCTAAAATAATTATAGACATTTTAAAATAAATAAATAAAGACGCTGAGTAATAAATCTCACAAGTTGACAATAATGTAATGCATGTGCCACAAGCAAAGTAACGCATAAAACATTGTGTCCTTTGAAAATTCCTTTTAAACTAAAATAGTAGGTTCCAAGTATAATAATTGTTAAGGACAAGAGAAAGTGGCAAAACAATTGTACAATACTTTTAAATTTTGCTCTAAGGCTATCGTATTGAATTTTCAAGTACACAAATTGGATTTTTTTTAAAACATCTATTTAAGGTATTTGTTTTTGTGGCAAAGATCTTGCTTGTAACACAAGGCTTCAAATATTATACTTATTCTCTCTAATCCCACTATTAGTTTAATGAACCCATGATTCCATTCTCTTAAGCATCGTTGTAACTATAACATGCAAAATACTAAACTTATTAAACAACTATTTTTCTAAATTCTTTATCGTATATGCTTCAACCCTTTGAAACCGAGTCAAAAAGAGCAGAACAAAGACCCCCAACAACGCAAAATTATTCATAAAATAAAATACAAAACCAAAACCAAAACCTAAGCCCACAGGCCACAACAGAATATCGAAATACTAGCATGTAAAATCCAACACGTGTCACCTGATCTACAATTTTACAGCAGGGTAGGGAAAAAAACGATTTTTTAAAATTTTTTATCCGATATTTTATTTATTTAATGTGATATAATTTGAATTGGATCTAATGTAATGGTTATAACTGCCTCCTCAAAACGTTCCTATCTTTTCTTACCCAACCACATAATTTTTTTTTATTAAAAAGGACAATATTAAAAATTATATTGAATTTTTGCCGTCTCTTACAAACTGCCTCCTATTTTTTTTTTTTTTTTTTTTTTTTTAAGAAAACTGCCTCCTAAATACTTCCCGTCTTTTCTTACCCAACATTGTAATTTTCTTTTCTTAAAAAAAAAAAAGAGTATCTTTTGCTAAAAAGATAACTTACAACTGTTATCCACATTAATCTCTGACAAGTCGACAAGGTCTCAAACTTAAGTAAAACCCCACCAGATGAATTTTAGCTGGATTTATGCACAGATCCGGGAAATCCAACATCGACCCATTTCATCGGGAACAGTGTTAATATAAAACGAACGTACAAGATATTCCAAACATACGAGTGAGAGTGAGAATCTTGAGAATCTAGAGAGAGAGAGAGAGAGAGAGGGTGTTTTAAGAATGGAATCGTGTATATTTAAGTTGCCCTTTCTCTGAAGGAAGTTGGTCGAGAGCTCAAACTCCATTTTCGGATTTAATGTTGAATTTCAACTATTTGAGGTTAATTTTGATCTGGGTTTGCTTTGTTTTTCTCAAAGTATTACTCGTTTGATTGAAGTTCTATTCTTTTTTGTCACATGTACACCGGTATTTTTGACACAACACTGTATTAATGTTTTTATTTTTTGGTCAATTCTTTTAACAAATTATTTGAATTGGGAAGTTAAGATTTTGTGGAAGGAGAGGGAGAGCTTTTTTAGAACTGACTCGTGTATATTTAAATTTTCCCCTTCTCTGAAGGAAGTTGGTTGAGAGTTTAAACTCCATTGTCGTATTTAATGTTGAATTTCTAGTATTTGACGTTAGTTTTGATCTGGGTTTGCGCTGTTTTTCTCAAACTTTTACGTATGTAGTCTGGTCTTTTTGACATGACACTGGATTTTTTTTTATCATTTCTATTGTTCGTCTTTTTGTTGAATTCTCTTATTGTGTCCTCCTTGGTGTGTATACACATTAGTCATTTGATATTGCTTTTGAATTTGAGATCTTAATTTAAGAAAGGAAAAAAAATGATGAAGATATGATTTAGAGCTGTATCGTACTGGGGCGGGGGGGTTTTGTATTTTCATAGCTTACCATAGAATTATCTTTCAAAAAATTTTGCTTTATTTGTTTGCCTTAACTGGTCTTTGAGATTTTCATGTTAACGGCATGATAAAGCTAAAACTATGGAGAATAATGGTGGGGAATGATGAGCTATGACGAAGATAAATATAGAAACTAAAATAGAATAGAATAGACTGATTAGAGTGTAACAGAGTATTTCTCAGCAATATATATATGTGTGTGTGTGTGTGTGTGTAGTAGACTGATTAGGATTGATTTTGATTTGGAAAGTTGTCTGATTTCTTGCATTTAATTGGATATATTTAATTTCCCTTTTTGGGTATATAATTAGCCCATCAATTGGCTACAATGTTATAGACAACTCATACCCAGTTATGATTATGGACTAGAATTTCAAAAATATTCTCCCTCTTTCATCTCTCCTTCCTCATCCCTCTATTCCAATTTCTTTCTAAATCTCCTCTTGTCTCATTTCCTTTTCTTTTGCACGAAAATGATATATTTTCTTTGTGTGGTGTGTGCTTGTCTTAGACAAGCTTAATCCAGTTATAAACATGTGAAAGTGGAAGGAGAAGATTAATTTCTTATTCTAAATTTTGCCTTTCTGATGATGCAGCCAAATTAGTTGAGTTGGTGCTCGGACAGCTTTCGTAGATCAACCGATGGATTTCCGCCTCTTCTTATTCCTCTTTCTGACTTCTCTGCCTGCTATTTTTGCTCAACTACAAGACACAGCAGATGCTAATATTGTAGTTGATGGGACTGAACGTGCTGCAGAAGTGGATGAGAATTTCATTTGTGCCACCATGGATTGGTGGCCCCATGATAAATGTAACTACAACCAATGTCCATGGGGGTATACATCTGCAATCAATTTGGTAGGAACTCAAAAATCTTGCTTCCACTAGCTTTTTTATTTTTCTCTCTTTTCAAGCATTTCAGGTTATTTACCATTCTTGTTGCTCCTTTTTGCCCCAGAACTTGTCCCATCCTTTACTCACCAAGGCGATCCAAGGTTTGTCAGTTTTGCATTGTAGTTTACATGTGCATTGTTTGGGAAACAACGAATGTCTTTCTGAATTAAACTTAAAAAGTATATTTTGGCTAATTAAAGTAAATGACTTAAGTATTGGGCGGTTGCGGTATAGTCGTACTCGTAGTATTTTATCTCAGCTATGTTTTATGAGACTGGTTACTTGACAGCTTTCAAGCCTTTGAGGATTAGAGTCGGAGGTTCTTTGCAAGACCGAGTGTTGTATGATTTAGAAGGTTTAAAACTTCGTTGCCACCCATTTCGAAAGGAGAAAGGCGGGTTATTTGGATTTTCAAGAGGATGCTTACGTATGAGTAGGTGGGATGAGCTAAACCTTTTCTTCAATAAGACAGGGTAAGATATTGTCTCGTGAACAGTTGTTCGCCTGCGTTTTTCTTTTCCCTTGCAAAGAGCCATTCATGATTTTTCTTCTATATGATTATTCTTCTCATATGTTTTCAGGGCCATTGTGACGTTTGGCTTGAATGCGCTCTACGGGAGGCATGTTATCGATAAGACTGCTTGGGGAGGAGATTGGGACTCTAGCAATGCTTATGAGTTTGTAAAGTATACGGTTTCAAAGGGACACAAGATAGATTCATGGGAGTTTGGTATGGAACAGTGAAAAAAAAAATATTAACTTGTTTTCTGATTCCGTTGCTTTTTTGCTTTACCTCTATTCGTGCCATTGTAGGTAATGAGCTGTGTGGAAGTGGTGTTGAAGCAAAGGTTAGTGCTGAACAGTATGGAAAAGACTTGATCAAGCTTAGAAAAATCATTGACGAGTTATATGAAAAGTCCGTCGAAAAACCTACACTTGTTGCACCAGGAGGATTCTATGAGAAGAAGTGGTTCAGTAAACTTCTTCAGGTTACAGGTTCTGGTGTAGTCAATATCATTACTCATCACCTGTACGATCTGGGTTCAGGCAAGTTACTTTAGTACCAAATCTTACGGCGCATAAGTTCTTAATTTATAATTATTATTCCATTAAGTATAGGTTTTTTTTTTTATATATTTATTTCCTTTGGTTGGACTGAGTTCCACATAACCGCAATAATTGGTGAAAATTAGACAACACAAGTTTTTCTCCAGAGAATAGATTTACCCAGTTGGGTATCCTTTTGACAATCAATCTAAAGAGAGAGTTCTTGGTTTAGTTTTCCACTTTATGACAGAAAAAAGGATGGACCATATCCTGTTGAGTAGCAATAATTCTCTGGTTTTAATTAATTAAAAAAAAACTAAAGAAGAGCAGCATTTAATCTCTGCACAAAACATCTATGAAATATCGATCTCATGAGCCAATCCCATCAATTTTTTCTGTTTAATGTATATAACAAGGGCGTGAACATGCCCCCCCCCCCCCCCCCCCGGTAATTGATTTTAGGACTAGATTGTTGATTGCATAATGCATTTACATGGATAACAGCTAAATCTCTAGCGAGCTACGGACACGCATCACCATCCTTTCTATCTTTTTTTTTTTTTCCTTCTTTTTCTTTTTTGTCTTCTGATTTTATGACACCATTTCTGTTTCCAGGTGATGATCCTAACCTTGTGCGTAAAATACTTAGTCCCCATTCCTTGAACAAGACTGCAGCAACGTTAATTGATCTTGAGCAAACCAGGAAACAACACGGTCCTTGGGCTAAATCCTGGGTTGGAGAGTCTGGAGGGGCCTTCAACAGTGGTGGTCGTAATGTGTCCGACACATTTGTCGACAGCTTCTGGTAATCTCGGTTGCTCCATTGCTCCCATCATTTTGTATTTTCATAATGTGGAAGTTCATTTTTCAGTATGCAACTGACCATTACCGTTGCCTTTTTATTCGTTCATGAACATAAGGTACTTAGATCAGCTTGGAATGGCGGCCAAGTATAACACGAAAGTGTATTGCAGACAGTCGTTAATTGGTGGGAACTATGGTCTCCTTGACAGAGACACATTTGTTCCGAACCCGGATTACTACAGGTTAGAGCCTGATTCCAGAATTGTCAAGTTCTCCTTATTTTACTTGCTAATGTTATATGATATACTATATATGGTTGTGTTTGGTGTTTGTTTTTTAAAAGTGCACTTCTGTGGAATCGACTTATGGGAGGAGGTGTTCTTGCTGTTGAGAGAAACGCTTCGCCATTTCTACGTATTTATGCCCATTGTTCCAGAGGCAGAGTAAGGCTTATTTCATTATAATTTTATTTTTTTTAAATACATGGATACAAAAGGAAGTCTCTCAACAAAACAGATCAACTCAAATTCCAATTTGTCAAAAGTTTCTCCGCGTTGCCTCTTCATGAAATTTCTCTCATTCTACGAAGGGTTTAGCACAAACATGTGCTATTTTCTCTCTTTTAAGAGTTACTGACGGCTTTCATTGTCTTATTATTACAGCCGGGTATAACACTACTTCTCATCAACTTGAGCAATCAGACTGAATTCATTCTCAATGTCGAGAATGGTTTGGGCCGCTTGCATGCAATAAGGACTACCAACCACAGGCAAAGTTCCATTGTCCGCGGTGTTAAGCGAGCCGTTTCATGGGTCGGGCAAAAAACGTCGGATAGACCATTGCACAGAGAAGAATACCATTTGACTCCAGCAAACGGACGCTTGAGAAGTAAAACAATGCTTCTAAATGGTACTCCATTGGAGCTCACAAAGGATGGAAACATCCCGAAGTTGGAACCCGCTTTTACCGACGTAAATTCTCCCATCTCTATCACTCTGAGGTCCATCAAATTTATTGCGTTGCCTAACTTTGATGCCCCGGCTTGTTGGTGATTCTCTCCTAGTGTCCCTCTAGCCCTTTTCCAATATACACTATTCTTATATTGCATAATTCTAAGCTTATTGTGGCAATTGTAAGTTCTCTGTGCAAAACGCAATAAGTAGTACTCTGCATTAATTGTATATGAGAAAATAAGACAGATTGCTATTTGTTTTGGTTTTTTTTTTTTTTAAACACTTGAATAATAAACCACTAATTGTTCAATATATGTTGCAATTGTTTATGTAAGGCTATTGGCTGAGTTTTAGAGGCCAGCTTTTGGCTTTTTTGCCCAAAATAAAATAACTTTTGGAAATGTAAGGTCCGTTCATTTCGTCGATTTGAGTTTAGAAGTTGAGTTTTGCTACAATAAAAAGCTCTCAGAAACAGTCACATTTAACTTTTTTGTTACAGTAAAAAGTTCTCACATAATGTTATATCTCAATTCAAATTAAAAATTTGAATAAGCGAATTAAACGGGATGTTAGATTAGACGAGTGCTGAAAGGGCTTTTAGCGACCAGAAGCGTTCTTCTATAAAATATTTGAAAAAAGGGTCGGTTCTTACATTTTTTTTTCACTGAAAATCTCTCTCTCTCTCTCTCATCTTTCCGACTCTCTTTCTTGCTCTCTCTTTCTTTATTACATGGATCATATAGAGCCGTGGGATTTGTAAACCTTGCTATAGGAAGTACTCATCTTTTATTTCAACTTTGTAATTTCATAAAGAATGTTATTAATTTATCATGTCAAGAAATAATAATAATAATGTTAATAATAATTTAATATTAAAATGTTAATAATAAATTTTATATCATTTGAAAATTAGACTCTTTAAACTTTTAGTTTTGACATTTTAAATCTTAAATCAAACAACCCCTTTAGCAATGTAGTCTGAACGTCAATTCGTGAACACTAGTTAGGGTAAAAAAAATGTCAAAATTAAAAATTTTAGGGTCCAGAAAAATTTGGCTGCTTTTTATACAAAATTTTGAGGCATTTCCGTCCATTGATATATTTTTATGAGATTTTGGACGAGCGATGACAATTGTAACATGTTGGTGTAAATTTAATACGCTAAGTGCACATGCCGAACAAGTAATAAAGCGAATGAGTAGAGTATCATTTTCACGAAAAAAGTTACCAATATTTTTCCTAATAAGATCCAAGAGATGTAATGTAAACAAATTTAATGGTTTGATTCAACTACAAAGAGTAAAAGAATTGCAGTAAACAAAAGTAAATAAATGCACACTTTGTTATCAAAGGTAAAAATCAATCTATGTGAAGGATTGAGACTCAATTTCTCCTTCACTGCAACCTGGGCTATTTATGCTATGACTTTTGCTACAACAATGTTGTTAGTTAACTTGAAACACAAATTTTAAACAAGAATCTCCCAATCTTCTTATGATTTCGCCTCTTTACTCAAATTTCAACATATTCCTATGAGAAATCTAAACAGAGAGGTTATGTTAAGCATGAGTTTCAATTGTGCTATGTGAGACAAGTGTATATTCCTATACTACTCGCAAATCAACTAGATTTCTTTGTGAAAGTTAGCTAAACAACACACTGTTCAATATTGGTCTAATCCCAATCAACTTTTCAACAAATTGAAATCACTATATTTTGCTTATGATGGCCGGTCAATAAACAAAAAATGAACAAGAGAGATTATATTAAACAAACTAATCAATATCAATATAGCAAAAGTGAGCATACACAACGTCAAATTACAAATCCGGGTACTTTATCATCCCAGCCAAATTAATTTAGCTCATAATTATTTTGTTAATTTCAACAAAATAGACAGCCATGGTTTAAGTGCAGAGGAAGAGGAAAGATAAACCAAAACTGAGGAGAATAGCAGTAAAGACAAGATGAAGCTTGGTAGTCTCCTTTTGTAGCTTCACTCCTTGAGATTTCTAGCTCCAAATTCGTCTCATGCCGTACTCGTATTCTCTTTCTTTTTTTTTCTCTGGTTTTCTTTTTGCTCTCTGCTGCCTTAGCTCTCTGCGTACCTCTGTTCTATTTTCTCCTCTGCCTATTGTTTGCTTTCTGTGGCGCTCTCCTCTTGCTGAGAATTAAAGTGTATTCCTCTTTAGGGCAACCAAGGATGCTGAGGTGGCTCCTACTCAGAGGTTGGGTCCAGAAGACTAAGCACCAAATCCATCTTCTATGCGCTTTGTCCTAATTCTCTCACAAAGTTATGCGTTGACTGTTGGGAATGGTGTCCTAGAAGCATGAGATGTAATAAGATATTTATTATTTATTTAATAAAAGAGTTTATTCATTATTTTATGTGCATATATTTATGAATATTTTATGAATATCAATAAAAATTCCATGATTATTTATGTAACCTTAAACATTGTATATAAGTGTTATATACGAGAGGATAATGTTTAAGGATAATAATCAAAAAGCAATGTTCATAATGAATTTAATTAAAGTTTGGAATCTTTAATTAAAACATTATTAATACATGTCATTCCCATTTAGAATGGAACGGTGTTATCCGCACTGTTGATATGACGAGATATTGAATGAGTGTATTTCGCATAATGAGATTATGTGGAACAAGGACACAGACACAATATGAATTTCTAATAATTTCCGTTAAGTATAGAAATTCTAATTGAGTCTACCGATGGTCATATATAGAATGATCTTAATCCTGAGTTCTTAACAAACTCCTATTTATGGATTTGTGTCTTTTGATTTACTCAGTACGGATTCTGAGATCCTGAATCCTATTCCTTGTATTTTGGAGACATGATGAAGTAGGTAGCCGGGAATGTTATTACACGAGATGGAATCCATTCCTTCTGAAGAAAGAAGTAGATAAATAATTCTCTTGAGGGTTGATTCGGTACTTGGACCAGTAGGAGCTCCGATTCAATGATAAAGAAGTAATTAGAGAGGTTAACGGATTTTACCTTGCTCTAATTATGAATTATTTATGGAGGATCGATCTATATGCAATGACTATATCAAATAGACACTTCACAGTTTAGAAGTAATTTATGTCTATAATTTCGAGAGTGCAATTCCAAGTTTATAGTGGAGTAACTATTAGAATTAATAGAATTAATTAATTAATTAAAGTGTTTAATTGATTATTAATTTTATTGGAGCTCGAGATTATAGGTCCATTAGTCCCC